GAAGAAGAAGAAGAAGAAGAAGAAGAAGAAGAAAAAAAAAAAGAAGAAGAAGAAGAAGAAGAAGAGAGAAAGAGAGGAGAGAGGAGAGAGAAAGAGAGAGACAGACCGACAGAGACACAGAGAGACAAAGATACAGAGAGACAGAGACTGAGACAGAAACAGAGACTGAGACAGAAACAGACAGGCAGACAGACAGACACACGGACACATAGACAGACAGACAGACAGACAAACAGGCAGGCAAACAGACAGACAAAACAGACAGACAGACAAAGGGATGGAGAAGTGGGACCAGTTTGAACAATTGCAATTAACGAAAAGGAAATTAAATCATCATGGCAGTACACTTATAATCTCACACATTCTTCCAAAATGAACACGAAAAGCTTCTATAGCTTGTTCACTTTCGCCTCACCGCGTAAAAAAAAAATTCTAGCTTTACCCATGCCCACGACACGTTGCATGGCACCTCTGCAGGCTAGTGACCAAACTTTAAAAAAAAAAATCTTGACCCAGTAGTAAAAATTGTTCTCTTTGGGCCTAATTATATTAAAAACCGCTCTTTGGATGCAAACACAGAATCACTAAAATACATGACTTTCAGTAACCTTGCCTACAAATAACCCATTTTGAGACGACAACACCACCTTGCCCTCTCATTTCAAAGTAAGATTGTAGATTTACCCCCCCCCCCCCAAACCGTCTATACGTCTCCACATGCTCCACGTGAGACTCGAAAATTACTTACCCCGTCACTTGTAACGTGTTTGTTAGATGAACGTCAAAGAGTAATGTTGAAGAAAATAATATGTCAACTTATAAATGTTTTAGGTGTTTGCTGAGAATCCCCTTCTATTATTTTATTACCCTCTTTAGACACACTTCAGGGAAAACGTGTCGAATCATATGTTTGCAGTGACCTTAATGAATGGGCTTTCAGATTCTGTTGGTCATCCAACTTTTACTCTTTTGACTTGTATGCAAAGAACCGAGAAGATTTTACAGAGCGATTCCATTTTAGTCTGTCTTGTTTTAACCGCGGCCAGACGAAAGTGAACCAGCTATAAGGTAAACAATCGTAAAAAAATGTCGCTCCAATTTGGGTAGCTCTGGAAAGGGGAAGTAACAGCTTTGGTTTCTACGTACAATTTTTATTTGAATTACCTCCCCTATTCCACTAATTCAAGCAACGACGAGAGTGGGTTAATGTGGGGTGTCCGAACACACAATATTACAATGATAAGACATTCGCTATCGTCTGCTGATTACTTTAGTATATAGCCCTAAAATAACGAGGTACAGAACTTTCAACTATCCAGGAATAGCTTTTAATTTGAATTAAATTCTGGAGAAGAAAAACCCTCCAAACATCCCCCACCTTCTGTTTCCCTGTCTGTCTGTCTGTCTATCTGTCTACAACCCCCTTCTTAACATTCTAGTAACATTTTTTTTTACTTGGCCAATGCAGTAGAGAAGAAATCGTAGAAGTCTTATGGCATGATATATTATATCATTATCCTTTAATTATTGGCGTCATGATGGCATATTGAATTCAGCTGTTTGTTTGTTTGTTTTAAATTTTGTTACTGTTTTGTTTTTATATTTTGTTTGAATTTGTCGATGGTGATAGTGCCCAAAACTACACCAAAAAAAAAAAAAAATAGAAAAAGAAAGAAAAGAAAAAACGAAGATTCCCGTAATTCCGGATACTTTATATTATTTCAAAAAGTTTGGAAAACAGAGCGCTAACATACCTCCACCCATGGCGCGCATATGGCCTTATGCAGTTGCGAGCGCCGTAAAAACTATACTTAAATAAAACATACCTCCACCCTATTCACCCAATCCCCTTCTTATCCTCTATTTATCAGTAGCAACTTTGTCATGAAAACGTCACCTTTCTGTTTATGATTGTTACTCGCATATGTAAGGCATCGTGGTGAAATCAGGTGCTCGTCAAAATAATGAAATCCGAGAAAGTTTTGTCATTTTTCGGCCAGTTTCGACGTTTCAGTCAAATTCTTTATTTTTGGCTCAACACCGTGTATGTCCATTCAAAAACACTTTCATGTGTGAATTATTTTTTTAAAATTATTATTAAAGGCAACAAAAAAATGTAAATTTGCAGTTTCCAAGGACTCTGAAGCTATGGAAGTCATTAAACTTTGACAGTCATTTTCTCGATAATTTTACTTCTGAAACCGGGCGATTCCACGTAAAAACACCTACATTAAAAAAAAGAAACAGAATTAGGCTAAATATGCTTGCTGCTGCCCACAGTTTTGTAGTAGGAGTAAAACATTTGTCAACACAGCATTCGGCCGTAGAGGGCCCTAGCTATGACTGGGTTTGCCTTTGGCTCCGAAATGACTAGACACGCCCCTGTATACGTCATTTCATAGGCACGGCATTCACAGTATGGTTTCTGATGGCCCAAGAGGATG